GAACTAAGCTGTAATACCAACCCGTTGCTTTGGTTAGTGGAACTCCAGGATTGCATTCTTCCTTATATGGGTAAAAGAGAAGCTGTAGACAGGAAGCGACGGATTACCAAGGTAGAGAAGAGGGTGTCCAGTACAATTAAGATTCATGTTTTAGGAATGACAATCTTTGGGAACGCATATTCTCTTCCAGATCATACTTGGTTAAGCAAAAGATAACGGTATTATAGCGAGAAGAGTCGGGTGACGAAGGAAATGCAGCGGACAAGAGGTGTCCGTCCATCCTTCCAACGAGTTATTGTTGAATTCAAACCACCGGTAAATTGCAAGTCGGGTTGAAAGTAACTCAACTATAGCGGCTATGCAGAGTGTTATGAGCATTTGTCGGGAATAAAGTGCTAGTATTCTCATGCAGAAAGCATTGAGAAAACGGTCCATGAGCATGGTCCATTAAAAAGCATTTTGTTATCCAGTAGATCTACCCTAGAAAAACATGAAGGTTGTGCGTAAGCTAGTTAAGCTCATATGAACGTGCGCTAACCCGGAGACTTTGTTGGGCTTGTTTTACGGTTGTTCAGAGGAACGCTGAACAGAATTACACGCTATTTTGAGTTACACGTCAGAATGAGTGCGAAGCTGGTGACTGATCGGAAAGCGTAGGGGTGGGCGGTCACGCATTTGTGTTATTCGACAAAAGTCGCTCTGGACGTGCGAGAAAAATTTTTTTTCGGTCGTACGCGTACTTTCACGCTACTATGAAAGCGTTTCGGGAGCAATGATCATATATGATATGCCCGAGATTCCCATGAGACGTATAAAAAAGTATTACTCACAAAAGACCGGAAGGCCCTTGGTTCGAACCCGACCCCTGCCTTTAGATCTCCGACGCCTAGGCTTGGGCAATCTGGTAGTATCCCGACCCTAGTGCCACCCTTCGGGTGGCGTGGCAGCTGGGCACCGAAAGGGTGCTACAGCTGTAAGTTTTCTATAATTAGTCTAACCTGAATGAATTTAACTGTGCACATAATATCACGCTAACCACAATGTACGACCTGCATTTGTTACTGTTGTATAATGGGACTAATTCTGGTTTCATGTTGAATGTGACATCAAAGTCAACAACTACCGAAATAAACCATTGAGTCGAAATGGTCCACATGAATACAGCAACAGGAATGAACAAGTGTTGGAATGTAAAAATTTCACCAACTTTTGCAGGCCGATATGGTAAAATGCCCAGATGCGTAGAAAGAACAAATTACAGACGGCAAGTATCAGCAAATGATCATTTCTCAGAAAGGCGCGTGATGGGACAGCGCCAAAGTGGACTCAAATCTCATATCAATTGTCTGAACAACTGTTTTTTTTCCACAAACATAGCCTGATAGAAAGCAAGCAACTACAGGTTCCGGCATTTCAGTATTGAAATCTCAAAACGCGATGAATGCCCTCTTAAGACTAGTTGAGTTTTCCTGGATGTTTCTGCAATCAGTGTTTAAGTTTGGTTTTCGTGCGGTTAGGTCGATGCCAACTGGCCAACAGTGCAACGATCATAAGAAAATACATGTCATGAACGCGTTGAAATTTTACGCTTTTCAACTGGTTATTTTCTTAGGACGTTTTTTTAATATAAACAACTCACAAGGATAAACAAGACCCTGATGAGGCAAGATATACATGGAAAACCTGAACAAACATGCACCGTGTTAGAAGGCAGTCGGATACTGCAAAATGCAGTCTCCCGGCGAATAAGTCAAAGACATGAGGCATAGTCGAACTAGTTAATTAGGGGAGAGGAACTTGTTATGTTCCAAACATTCAGCGTACTTTATCCCCAATCATCACGACACAATCGGATACTATAACAGTACCTGGCGAATGATCTTGAATGGTTCAGGAGTACAGGTAGTGGGTTCGGGTGTCTTAGATCGCATGGTCAAGAAGTCATCGGACACTTTGTTTGACTGATCACTGCCAGCAGCATTCAAATTTAATCTCGGCTGTTTGGGTTTGCTCACTGGACCAGGTGGCGGAAGTGCGACGGTCGCATTTAAGTCGACCGGTACGGATGTGGAGCGAGGATCCACCTGAAGAGGCGGATTCAAGTGATTGTTCTTATGATCTGGAACGCAAGGTGAGACAAATCCATCCCGAAACCGTTCCACTGGCAGCTGGCCTGTCAGCATAGAACGTCAAAAGGATAAAACAGCGTGCGGAATGAATCGAAATGTTGTAAAATGCACTGTAGTCAACAAAGACGTACACTTAAAGGAGCATGAAACCAATCCTATTCATCTGATGCACTTTTTAGATAACGCGTGATAAGGGAAAAAAGCTCATACTGTGCATGTACGGCACGATGCATGATGACAAGACGATGTGAGCCGAGAATGATGATATTAAAGAGTCCACACAACTCAGCTGATTTTCGTCATAAGATAATAGGACAAGCGACATAACCACAAAAACATTATATATATAAATATATTTTCATAAGAGAAAACTATGTAAGACAGTGGCGCCCTGACGTGCGCATCATTCACAGTAGGATAAACCTAGCCTAACTGGATGTAGGGAATGGGTGGTACCAGGTTCAATCCCACCAGCAATAGATTCATGTTCCACTTGACTCTTCCGTTGTTCAACTGACCTGGAGGAACGCATACTCAACAAGGACAACGCAGTGATGTTCACAGTTATAGGCTCACAAGGTTTGGAGAACAAGGCTTACGTTAAACAGTTGCTGAATGTTGAACCTGAACCAACCTGGTATTCGTCTGAACAGACATGACCTATGACGATTAACCGAACGATAGTGACAGAAGCACTGAGTCAAGCTAGCCCTGATAACTGCTCAGTATCCGTTCTTCGGGCCTTGGAATGCAGTCATGTGATATACTAGACAACTGTGCAAGTGCCATTCCGCCAGTACATGTTGGACGGATTCTGAAAGGGAGAGCACGTCACAACTGGACTGTGTGGCTAACGCCAAATTTCGAACGACCACCCAACAGATGTTCTGATGGTACGCATCGATTGAATCGTCTATCGGATAGTGTTACGGACGGGTTTGTTTGCTAGAGGGTAGCTGTGGGGTATTGTGCCCAAATCGACCTGATATACACAGCTGGCTTCTATACTTGATTTCTAGATTTTTTTCCACTACTCACGGAATATCAGTAAACAACCCAAGAGTGAAAATAGTACACACTACCGAGCGAGACTTCTCGACTTAACCTAAGCCATCACAGAAGGATGGCTGACATCAGATTCATTGATTGTCAAAAAGCTTCAGAAATATAATCGTGGTATGAAAAGCATACACTTTTACCGAGTGCTTAGCGAATCGACCTCCTGGTGACATAAAACTGATCACCCGTTTGCGTATTTACTTGTTTTTTACAGGAGACCCAGGTGAATCACAGTTGGATTTCTGGGTCGTGAGAAACCTTGTAAGTAGTTTCATTCAAGGAAATAATTCGGTATTCCTAATTCCTTACAAAATGGAACACGAGGCACTCTTTATGCAGCACACCAAATTGAAGAAAATCATGGGTGAGATACTCGGCCGGAGTTCTGTTGAGTCTCCCGTAAAAACAAGACTGGTGTGCAAATGAACGGGTTCCGCGAATTTCGAACAAGTTGCGTTCAAGTAGACCGTAAGGTTGGGAGGAAATTCAGGGCTGTGCCTACCTATGAGCTCCAAGAAGGGCGAAACCACTCCTCGGATGTTCCAGCTTTTTCAGCAACCTTGCAAGTAGTTTAATCCAACAAAACAGACGAATTTTGTTATGATGAATTAGTTCCATGGAGATACACCCAGTCGCGCCGCCCTCAGCGTTCAATGCTTTGAATCAGACATGTTCCCCATGGTCTGTGAGCATTCAGTGTGAAAAGATTAAATCGTAGTTGTACATACTTTGAGGCACACTGTAGCATCGCACAGATGGAATAACAACTCGTATGTTGTAATTAAATCATATTGAGTGTTAACGATGACATTAAACAGCATACGTACTGGTTTAACACCAGAATATGTGGTATTTTCAAAAAGGTCAATATCGGTCAGAACATTACTACCCCACGATGTGCTTATCTCTTGGTTTCATGCATACTGGACAAGCAACTGGTGTGTATATTGCAATAAAGGGTCTGTTTAAGGATAACCGAACTCGTAAGATAATAGGAATGATAGAAAAAACACATAAACGTAAGGCAACGCAACAGTACGTACCGGCCTCGATAACTGTTGACCTGGTCGCCTTTTGTGGATTATCTGAAACGAACCTGTGAACAGAATGAAGTCAAAAGTTAAAAGATAGTATTACTACAATCACAGGAAAATGTGATTAGAGGAGAAAGATGACACATGATCAGCGATTGACTGAAACCGCTTACAACAAACCCTAGTAAATGCTTCAGATTTAAGGATGATAACTGGCTGAAAAACCTCACATTCGAACTCAGCTTTTAACACCACACATATAATTGCTTAACGTTCTAATTAGGACCAGCTGATATGTGTTTGTCTTTGATGCATGCATCTTTCGGTGTTAGGGAACCACTAAATCGGAAATTCGGTGTCTTCTGAAAAAAGCAACTTAGGTGATGCTGAATGTCTTGACCATTGGGAAGCCAGAAATGAGATATGCAATATAAGCGATAGCTCAGACGAGCATGAGCTCCCCTCCGGGACTGTGAAAACAGTTATTTATACTCAAAAGTTGGACTAAAAAAATGAAAACATAGAGAGTGGTAGATGCAAACAAATTGTATGGTCTCTTCGGTACAAAATTCGAACTCAGCTTTTAACACCACACATATAATTGCTTAACGTTCTAATTAGGACCAGCTGATATGTGTTTGTCTTTGATGCATGCATCTTTCGGTGTTAGGGAACCACTAAATCGGAAATTCGGTGTCTTCTGGAAAAAGCAACTTAGGTGATGCTGAATGTCTTGACCATTGGGAAGCCAGAAATGAGATATGCAATATAAGCGATAGCTCAGACGAGCATGAGCTCCCCTCCGGGACTGTGAAAACAGTTATTTATGCTCACTTGTTGCCTTGTGGCAGACATTGTAGCAGATATTTGCCTATGGAGGATTGTGTTTTCCGACCGAAATTCAACCCAGTATCTTGAGAAAAAGATGGTTCAGGAACTAAAGAAGCAAGTGCTATCTTCAAAGAGCAATACCATGAACAAGAGACATGAAATGAACAAGTTGGAAATACGTACCGTTCGAATGGAATGGGAGTAGCTCTCCGAGGTATCGAACCGATGTATGAAACTTAAAGAAAAATAGAAACACTAGAGACTAGCGAAATAAAATTCCATGTCATTTTACAGCACAAGCAAAACTATGAAAACCATCCAACCGGAGTTACTTGAAAAAAAGCCAGACACCGACGTGCAAGGGCAATAAGGAAATTGTCATTTGTTCCCTGTTCTGTTCTGCAACAATAATGAAAATCCTTCAACAGTCAACCGTTGTGAAAGTATCGCAATGCAGTACGGAAATGCAACATTGTGTTCACAAACCTTGATAACTAAAACTTCCTACCAATCAGACTGGTGCACCCCTGTTCGGTTATTTAACCAGCAATTAATGTCCCCACAGGCTGGTGCGGTCACCATACTGTAGTCTGCGCGTGATCCAAAATACGTTACAGCATGCCCCAAACGTATCACTAGCGTGAAGGCTCCTTGTGACCGATGAGTACCGCACTCGAACCATAAAATCTCATTTGCACCCGGAAATAATCCAAGCAGCTTACAACATCGTAAGCAACTGAAATTTCATTCTTGGGGGCAGAAAATGTCCGATAACGTGTCTAACTCCCTCAACAACGAAACGAGCTCGTCAAAGAAGGATTCTTCTATCTCCAAAAGGTGTTCCTTACTAGAAATGTTGCGGTTAAGCTTTGCAAATCGCGCAGATGTCAAGTCAACATGCAACTGAAGACCGCATTACGTGGGAGACGATGAAGCCACTGACGATGTATTAGTGGCAGATGCTGAATGGACACAAGTAGGATTCACATATCCTGATGTATGCATTCGTGCATTGAAGTCGAAATTAGATTAAACATTTTACGAATTTCGATTTGGTATCACTAAAAGTCAGTTAAAAATAGTCGGACACACTGGTTTGGTGTGAAGTATTTTATTGGTTGGTTAAGCAAATCTAATTGTACAATCTTAATGTTTCTTTGGCTCCACTTAAGCACCGGTCATTGTCTATAATGAGCTTTCGCTTCTGGGGCGATTAGTCGATTAGCACTAAACAACACCACTTCTCGTAAAACGAGTTGTCATATTCCGAACCAGAATGACCAGATACGACAACTAGCAGTTACCTGTACTTCTTGTTGTTATCATAGTGTNATGTTGATGACCATTAGTACAGTCTGCATGAAATGAGGTATTCAAGACAATGACAAGATGTTAGTAGTTCAAACAAATGTTTGTTGGAGCAAACCACCCTGGATTGTACACGAGTCGTCGAATTTAATCTTACTGGATGCAACTGAACTGCAAAAGTAGCCGGCTCAGTTGTAGTAGCATAATAGCAACACAAAGCCAAAGCCGACAAACGGAACATCGCTTTTCAGAAACGGAATGCTTTAAGTGATCACAGCACATCTGGCCAAAGGTTTTCTACAGAGACGTATTCGATTTAGGTGTATAATGAGAGAACCAACAGTAAAAACTGCAGGCATTAGTTGAGCACTAGCTAACTCTGGCTGGTATTCTGTTTGCTGAGCCCGGTAATATACTTGCAAACGTCCCGTCACCAATCGAAGTGAAACATCAGTGAATAAGGAGATTAGCGTTGTAAATGTTGTATACAAGTTAGGCTACCAAAGTAGCAGGTCGGCCAATTAATTTTGTCCAGTTTAATCAGTGCTAAAAAATATCCAATCAAAGGAGTCTAGTGGCAGTAAAGTCAACGAACCTGAAGAGCGTGGCAGTCTCGGTTTGTTGTATCCATGCCTGTAGACAAAGCGTAAAAACGGTGGTGAAAGCAGCATGGAATTGTAGAGTATCACAAGGAGACAACCACCACACATCGAAATACAGCCTGGATGAGGATTTTAAAACATGCTCGAAAAGTTGCCCAGAGAAGTTAGTAGTGAGACCACATTTTCTGAAGAGCCTCTTCATTGCCAGACCTTGAAATGCACAACGACTTACTCTGGTTGCTTAGCAAGATGACCATTTGATTGCTTGACGCAAGTTATCACAGAAGTGAAGAACGCCAAAGTTCTACTACCAACGGCCAGTTTTTATACCATCACCTTATTGATAGTGGGACATCCGTTTTCCATAAAGTGCATTTTTAAAGTAGCTGTGGTAAACAACCCAACTAACAACTCCGTGTGCACCCAAGAATTTCTCTCTAGATCTGGAATCTACCATCTGCGACAAGCAACATATCAATACCAAAGTTTTCACCACAAAATCCACAGACTTCCGAGGGACAAACCGAACCTGCTCCGTGAAGCGAGTTACAATTCTTGAGTTCCACGAGCGCAACATAATCAGTCACAAAACCTGCCAACATAGGCCTATAAATTTATGAATAATGTTCACTGAGCGGGAATTGGAAGGTTCATGGAGCAGAAACACACTGTACTGCCGGTTACGGTAACCTAAATCTGTATTTGGACGGCCGAAGTTCGATCATCTCATGAGGAAATACTTGAGGTATATTACTTAACAAGCTAAATTGTAGAAATTTCACACAAGGTGGAAAGGCTACTACAAGATGTGCGCCGAAGACTTCTATCCGCTAGTGCGGATAATGTCAGCCGTCGAAAAGCACAGTGAATTTCGTGCGTGAGTTCCAGCCCAATGGCCAGAAAAATAGTGAGTTATCAAAAAATGCAGTTATATTGTACTCACCAAACGACACATGAGCAAAAAGTGTAAAATACGCCATCAGAAGGTCATCCACTCACGGATCAACAAAGGGATCGAGCCTCAAAGCACTAGCAGGCGCTCGTTTCTCGGGGTCGGGGGCAAAAGTGCGCTCCAGGAAGTCACGACAAGTCGACGAAACGTCATCAGGGATATCAGGGTGTTGCATGGTCGATCCAACTAGGTAACAAACTTGCCATTCGTTAAGCTAAAAATGGCAAAATCGGAAAAATTAAGAAACCGGATGAGGGGAAATCAGGCTAGAAAAGAGGTATTGTGGAATTGTGAGAATAAAAACTAAGAATAACACGCGTCCAAAATCTCCGTTAAGTGAAAAAAACAAACCATTTGAAGTATTCTGTATTTACAAATGAAGACGGTTAGTTTGAACAGTGAAGGTGTCCAGCTCTATCTAAATGGCGTCAATAAATCACGGTACATCGATGCACCACAAACGGAAACATATTATCACTCAACAAGACCGGGCACTGTCAGACCCGGGCGGAATGTAGAGTCGGCAGCGGCGACAATAACTTTGCTACCTCGCTTTCTTTAAATACCCCCAAGGGTTGAACAAGAACACAGTGACGAACGTTAATGTTTTCCGGATCTCTCATCAGCTCAGTACATATTTGGCGGTTAAAATAAGAACAGAAAATGAAATACGCGGCGAACATTGGTTAATGAAATGTAAAAAAAGTGGAGACACGAACGATTGGTTGTCTGCGCCCCCACGTCGCACCTAATTGGATGCTGTGAGACAGACTAGAGGGTTGTTGAGTGACTTGGCCAGTTGATTCGTGTCACATAGCCAAGGCAGACTCAGCGTTCATATGAAACGTTTTTGATAGCACAGTACCGGGTTTCGCAGACGTATAGTGACTGCACCGACTGTGGTCAAGCCACGCCGTTGGATAGATACTGGCAGCCTACTGGGTACACGGTAAATAAAATGAAATGACTCATTCGGAACGACTAGGCACCGGTGTCAATTAAGTGGGACGCAATTGAGCTTTTGGCTGAACTGTTGAGTCTAATGATATTCCGGTAAGAGAGATGCTCACGTATTCTCCCAGAAAGTTGCCGTGTCGTGCACCCAACCTACTCCGCTGAACAACAGCAGGAGAAAGTTGACAGTCCAGTGTATCAGCAGGGCAAATACGCCTTGCTTGGTTCGTTGAAGTGTGAATCAGAGTGCGTTTCCGCACAAAAATCAGAAAGTTTGTGTACCGTCCTGTCCACGTGGGCTTTCTGAACCCGTGGAAAGTCCGACTAACTTAAGGTCCAGGAAATGAAAGGCGCTGTCAATTTCAGTATCAAAAGTGAACTGAATGGAGTGATGTGCTCGGTTGTAGTTGGTCAGGAGGGCATCCATTTTGGGACCGTTTGATACTAGCAAAGAAATATCATCTAGGTATCTTCAATAAAAATTCGCACGTCTAATCTCCCCGTTCAATCAACCAAGTTCCAGTTTGACCATAAAAATGTCATTCAACAAGGACCAAGAAAAGAACCCATGGCAACTCCACCGATTTGTCGGTAAAGCGTGGAATTAAATTGGAATTGTACGCTGAAAGTACAGCGGAGTAGTTCCTTTAAGGTGGTGGAGATCGGCAGTGTCGAATCTGTTGAGTCAGTGTAATCACAGATAAAACTTATCGTCACACCTTAAAGAACCGAGCAAGGCGTACTTGCCCTGCTGATACACTGGACTGTCAACTGCAGCACATTGCTAACGTGCCCCGAACCAATGGTTACCCAGAGAGATTTACAAACAAGAATATGTCCGATCGCCCTATCCGAACGCCTATCACGACCGTTGGAAAGAAGCCAATATACTTGAGTTTACCGTATAAAGGAGATTTGTTGGCAGACATAGTCTATCGCCGCTTGTTCCAAACCCTACAACGCACGTTTCCGGCTGGAACTCTGTAGTCTTGGTTTACAGACAACTCTTTGCTCAACTTAAACCTCAAAGACAAGATGCCAGTGTTCACACACAATATGGTTGTGTATTCTTTCTCCTGCTGTTGTTCAGCGGAGTAGGTTGGGTGCACGACACGGCAACTTTCTGGGAGAATACGTGAGCATCTCTCTTACCGGAATACCATTAGACTCAACAGTTCAGCCAAAAGCTCAATTGCGTCCCACTTAATTGACACCGGTGCCTAGTCGTTCCGAATGAGTCATTTCATTTTATTTACCGTGTACCCAGTAGGCTGCCAGTATCTATCCAACGGCGTGGCTTGACCACAGTCGGTGCAGTCACTATACGTCTGCGAAACCCGGTACTGTGCTATCAAAAACGTTTCATATGAACGCTGAGTCTGCCTTGGCTATGTGACACGAATCAACTGGCCAAGTCACTCAACAACCCTCTAGTCTGTCTCACAGCATCCAATTAGGTGCGACGTGGGGGCGCAGACAACCAATCGTTCGTGTCTCCACTTTTTTTACATTTCATTAACCAATGTTCGCCGCGTATTTCATTTTCTGTTCTTATTTTAACCGCCACTCGTAAGCTACCTACATAACGAAAATTTGCAAAGCAGATGCCGCGAGCTGGGGTTATTTCTTCAGGTAACCCACGTGTGAGGGTGGAGAATGTTGTAGCTAAGATGACCATCAACATCGCAATCACCATCATCGCCATCATCAAGAGCGATAGCAACGAAAACCACAATGACAACAGAAATAGCCCTATCCAACCGCCGATCATGGCCGTTGAAAAGAAGCCAATATACTTGAGTTTACCGTATAAAGGAGATTTGTTGGCAGACATAGTCTATCGCCGCTTGTTCCAAACCCTACAACGCACGTTTCCGGCTGGAACTCTGTAGTCTTGGTTTACAGACAACTCTTTGCTCAACTTAAACCTCAAAGACAAGATGCCAGTGTTCACACAGAATATGGTTGTGTATTCTTTCTCCTGCTGTTGTTCAGCGGAGTAGGTTGGGTGCACGACACGGCAACTTTCTGGGAGAATACGTGAGCATCTCTCTTACCGGAATATCATTAGACTCAACAGTTCAGCCAAAAGCTCAATTGCGTCCCACTTAATTGACACCGGTGCCTAGTCGTTCCGAATGAGTCATTTCATTTTATTTACCGTGTACCCAGTAGGCTGCCAGTATCTATCCAACGGCGTGGCTTGACCACAGTCGGTGCAGTCACTATACGTCTGCGAAACCCGGTACTGTGCTATCAAAAACGTTTCATATGAACGCTGAGTCTGCCTTGGCTATGTGACACGAATCAACTGGCCAAGTCACTCAACAACCCTCTAGTCTGTCTCACAGCATCCAATTAGGTGCGACGTGGGGGCGCAGACAACCAATCGTTCGTGTCTCCACTTTTTTTACATTTCATTAACCAATGTTCGCCGCGTATTTCATTTTCTGTTCTTATTTTAACCGCCAAATATGTACTGAGCTGATGAGAGATCCGGAAAACATTAACGTTCGTCACTGTGTCCTAGTTCGTTTTGTGTTACGCTGGTATAGAGGTGATCTATTCTCCAAAACCTGGGTAATTTTTAATGGGCGATTATGCAGAAATTTATCGATGATTACTGGACAGTCGGTCAGGCGGAATACTTGTTATGAAAAGTTCGATAGTACCAATGTTGTAACCTAGTCGAACCGGCTATGTATTTCGCGACTATTATTCGCCTATATTCTAAATTACCGTGTTAGCTGTGAGGTCCTATGTAAGGAGCAAAGGTATCCCGGGGAAGGGGTAATCAATGGGTATAGATCTGTACTTCAGGTTGGATACTCCATATCAGTATGATTCGATTTTCCTAAAGAATACCAAGACTCCCGGTGGGGAATGATGAGTATTGTCAACACGTCTTATAAAGAATACCGGGGTCTTTAACACTGAACAGGCGTGGATCGGGTAAACGACCTATCTTCCCGCGACTAGTCGATTTACGTGACGAAGTTCCCGACCGGTCGTCACATGCTGCAACGAGTGTTGTCTGATGGTGTTTTAACAAGTCACAGTCATTCCATAATTTAAAGATGTGGATTCGGTGGTACCGCGAAGACGCCCGGTAGATAAACGATATTGACGAGGAAAGCAAGATAAGGAGCACTGGTATAGCGACAAGCAATCCACCAGAAGTATGAGCTGTGTATAAGAAGGGTTTGATGCCCATAGCTGTTACGCGCTTGCTCGCGGAGATAAGACGAGGTGAGAGACGCGTTGAGGACCGGATTTCGTGTGCGTTCTGCGTGAACCGTACAGAAACACTAGTGAATCATGCATGGGACGTTTTCCAAAGTCAAGAGCCAGGAATATGTTCAGTTTGGATCTTCACTCACAGAAACGGGACAGCCTTAACCCATAAAAGAGGATTTTCACGCCGCTCATTGGAAATGCTAACATGCGTAGGCTTAGAACACGAGGGAGACATGCGAAATGAGCAACCTAAGAGCTAACACGGTACGCCAAATGCCCACTTTTTCTTTCCTCCGCATGCATTCGCCCTAAGGCACTCGAATTTACAGTGCGAGTCTCTCAGAGCAGTTGTCCGTTGGACAGCTTACAGCTGTTGAACTCACATCGAGAATTCAGCAAATACCGCATGACGCATTGAGATCAGTCCGAAATAGTGTGAAAATGAGAACAAACAGTGAGAGCCAGTGTTGTTTCGGAACTCTCATTGATTTTTGCAGGATTTCCGTCCCCAAACCGTTCCATACATCCAGGATTGCTGTTACTTCATCCACGTTGGAGAGGAACACGGATACTTTTCGACGGGGTCTATATACAGACTATTGCGATGGAATACTTCGGTACGCTAACAATTATTTTAGAATGTTTAGTATGTTTTAGTATGTTTCATAAAAGATGGAAGGCAACTTGTGATCAGCCAGATGTAGAAATCGGTCGTTATATTTCCACCCAGCACGAGCAAACAAAGTAGTTCCCGCAAGGATAGATACTATAAACACCACAACATTCTGCGCAGTGACCTCAATTACGGTGAATTACTAACAACAAACTACGCTATACAGACCGCTCACAATGAACTGCTAACAGATCCAAGGCGCTAATCAAGAACATATGATCCCCTAAGTTGTCTCTGTACTTCGTGCTCACCGCAGTCATGAAGAACATCGAATCACTGGTTGCACGTGACTTATCTGGTTGAATGAGGCCTTTATTGATCGCCACTTGACTACGTCGGACAGATTTGGCATCAGTCCCATGGTTTGCTCCGAACAGTATTTCCAGGGGTTGGCCCAATTAGACCAAATTTTGGGAAAATCATACGTGGCTTATTTCGGCGTCCCCTTGAATAGAAAGCCTGTCAAACTTTAACGCTGCGTTATTCGGTGTATTCACTTATAAGATTGATTGTTTCACTCAAATCGAATGCAGATATAACCAATGAGTGATTAAGAGGACTGAACTAGTGACTTTGAAGCATTACAACAGTTGAAGCCACGGACGCCACTCCTTCCCTGAGTAGCTCAACACATTGGATCGAACAGATTCATGAATTGCTCTGGTCGGTCACCACGCCCTTTCGTTGTGTTGTTGCGTGGTACACCGAAATCGGTCACCTATGCAGCGAACATCTGGGCTCGAAACTTCAGAATTGTAATGTCCTAGACTGAACTGAAAAGCTACGGACTGTCACTAGGTCAGAAATCTGGAGCAGACCGTCATTCCCGAACTGTTATGCGAAATACAGTGTAACTGATCTCACAGCAATTACCAGACTGGACCGAAAACGAGTACACATGAAAATAAGAATAATTTTATGGGATTAATCGAGTTACACTGAACCAAGGGAAAAGACAAAGTATACTAACCCCACCGTAGAGTGGTTGACCAGTAAGCATGTAGACTACCGTACATCCGAAACTCCAAATATCAACCGAAAAATCATATCCGCCTTTGTTCTGCAGAAGTTCCGGAGCCATGTAGCAATGCGTACCTTTTGGAGGACCGAATTGAGGAAAGTACAAGAATCAGACGTGAAACGAACAAAATAATTTCGGTTCTACGCATAGGACGGTAATCGGTCATGCAGTAAATTGCCGAAAGCGCGACTGAGCCAAAGTTGAAGTGCAAGATATTTTGTGTAGTAAAATCTTGACCACAGCTCAACGTGTAGAGCAATTAGGCAAAAGTCCTCAGAGTAACATCTACAGAGTGATATCCCTCAGCACAAGACGACTGACCGAGAAAGCATGAAACGAAAAGCTTTCCCAGAGACATTGGCTACGGAGACCTAAGAGTTCTGCCTACGATAATTGATTTTTCAACAGTTTCCGTCTAGAGAGAAGCCACAATAAAAACAGCGAAAATGGTCTTTGCACAGAGAGAGGGTAGAGAAAGCTTCTGTCGTCTACCCCAATGTATTGAGTATTGATGGATTTCACACACTAGGGCAGGATGAAAATGTGTAGAAAGGATTGAACAGAGTGCCAACTTAAAACAATCTGAAAAAGCGGTGAATTGTCCGGACTTCACAGCTGAGCACTGCAGGCGGTAAGGTGTGGGATAGTAGCTAGTACCTATATCTGAACAAAAAGTATCTCCAGTTTGTCGCCTGACCTTGCCTAGGTTTGGGTGTACAGGAAGCTTTTCAGCATTCGTGATTGTAGCAGGTGGTATGGCAACTGGGCGTCACAAGATCTGGAAGTTATGTGATGGATACTTGTCAAGCTTTTACAGGCTAGTAAAATAAACTATGTCGAGACATACGGTCGTCAATAAATCACACTAAAAAAGGCCAGACTTTATTACCAAAACCTACCTAATACCGAAGTAGCTCGTCGCTCGAGCCCCATGAGAAGTTTGGAAACACCAAAGTCGCTTATTTTCAACAAGGGTTCATGCTTATCAACCAAAATATTGTCCGGTTTGATATCTCGATGAACGATACGATTCTTGTGCTGAAACCGTGAAATCCAAGTAAGACTGAGGTAGTGAAAAAGACATGATAAGATGAAAAGACACATTGGGACCCAAGAGAGAATGGAATCCCGATGAGAATGTGAAAAACGAGTTAACAGATTCCGGCTGAGAAACACCATGACGATTTGAAAACCACATGTCAACCTGTTTCCTAACTAGAAGTACAACACGCAATTAAGGTATCCACACTGTTTGAGTGATAGTTTGGAGAGGCGGCATCACACTACCATCAGGTTCACCTTTTCAGTTCTTCCTCGTGAGTGTCTTTAAAGTTAACGTTTCATTACTACACGGCGATAGCTAAGTGTCCGTTCTAATCAAAGACATGTGAAGCGGAATGTGTTTCCGGGGCTGACCACATCCTGCCGAGTAAATGGCGTGATTGTTTATCAATTCTTAGATATGGGGATTTCATATGTGGTGAGCATTACGTATTTTGAGTCATTTCGGCTTGGCCACTCCTACTACTAGAGAATTGCGCAACAACTACCCAGTAAGTTTTGTACATTTCATTCCAGTGACCGTGTATTCATTAGTCTGAAGGACGGAAAGTGACATACTGAACCAACCAGTGTCCTAATCATTTGCGAGTTGGGCTTATCGGCCGTTGCAGCACCCAACTGTGATCGGTGGGGTAGGGGTTCACCTATCATTCAGATTCCCTCAAGCGTGAAAATCGGTTGTGTTTGCAAAAATGTAGCCGCAGGGAATCGTGCTAACTGTCTCGAAAGCAGCAGCTGCTCCAGTTTTGAGGTCTGTTATCTACAGAACAGCTATGTTATTTGGGTGCATACATAGGCCGACTCCAGAAGTGTCATTCCTGGACTTTGCAGAGGCCAAACCGCCGTTTACAAGCTGTTAAGACTGAAAAATAAACCGCTTAACATTGATGTACTTCAGATACATGCCTGGCACACTGGTTTTAGGAGAGATAAATCGTTGTTAGATCGCCTGGGCATGGACAGGAGTAATTGGGATGACAAGAACGGATATCACCCTTTAAACCTGTGCTGTCACAGACTGACCCAACCATGAATTTTGATGTCCGAGCGAAGAACTTGGGCTAGAGGGAACTGAGTACGCTGCAACGAGCGAATGATTGGCATTGGCGAAGTGCGTATACCTAGCCAGACCTGAAGTGCATGGTCCACTAAGTCGTAATAGGTATTCATTCGATTTATGTAGCAAGATGGGGGGCAAGCTGGCTCAGTGGTTAGAGCGCGAGTTTAATGACCGGATGGTCCGTGATTCATGGTTGTACGGCAGTGAAACATCGGTGTTGAACACTGATGTCATGCTGTCGATGATGATGATGATGGTCCGTGATTCAAACCAGACCTCTGCATATCGACTTCTCCTGTCTATGCTTGAGCAACCCAACTCTCGTGCTTCCTTCAGATGCCATGGCAATCAGACACCGAAAGGGTGTTACAGCTGAATGATTATTATAATTTTTATGTAGATCAATAAGTCACTCGGTGTCCAAATTTCATCACCACATGACCTTTGTGCACGTTTCTGCCCTGGAATAAAGGAGCTGGAGAAACATCTTCACATGTGCTCAAAAAGGGGCAGTGTAGAACGCGCTTCGACTAAAAAAACAACAAATTACGAGCATGATGAAGACATCGTTTCCGATATTTCAAACTCAAAGTCAGGTAAAGCTATAAGGGTGGCAAAAATCTAGAGAACAATACTTCTCTGAACACAAGCAGGGAATCCAAACTATCGACACATAACAATGAGGCGACAAGAAACCAGAATTTAGTGCTACATTTCAGCAAATTGTATAGTTGAATAAGATTCTCCGAGGTCGATTGCTTTCTCCCTACAGCTGTGTGACCAGGGCAGGATACTGCTAACGAATATGCAAACCCAACAGAAAAGGCGAATGAATTGTTAGCTCCTACGTGTAGGGAAGGACAGTCCGAGGTCCTGGAAACTAAATTAGTTGCCAGCACTGATTTAACTGAATGCAAGACCCGGTTAACAACTGGGAGCATTAGTCGCAACGTACCAGCCCCAAAGCTACCTAAGCTTTCAACGGAAGATTCCTTGAGCTGGGAATGACAGTTGTATCCATAAGTCAAAAGGTCCTTCGGAAACAAATACGTACATAATAAACTGAGACCACTCTGTGTAGAAGCTTACTACTGAGTGGCCAAACTGTAAAGTTCCAAGATAGGTTTAGCACGAAGTTTTAGATGTAAAATAGACCCACTGGCCCAGGGTTAGACAACTTGCACAGTGTGGACTCACTAAATAGTAGAGCCCCTCCAAAATTTGAGCAGAATAATCTGCCACTGTTTCTTCATCCAATTTGCCATAAGTTTTCACAACAAACTTCAAAGAACCTGGAAAGGTAGAAGGTAAAGAAATTAGAAACTTCAGAAACAAGTTTTGAACAGAGATGCACATAGATAACAGCGAAGGTAGAAAGCCAGCAGAACGCAGAAACCGCAGCAGAAGCGACATAAACTGCAAAGTGAAAGCGTAATTTACAAAGGATACAATATTAAACACATAAGCTAGACAGATGTGATGACTTCCCGACGGCTGGGCACAGTAGGGGACATGGAACATCAAAACAATCGCTCGCCACATCACGCCTTCGGTGGATCAACAATACTGATGGCATCAGTCCATAAGCAGTTGACAACAAATCCTCCATTAGAAAGACGCATCCCATGAATGTTGGACTTACAGCTAGGATTGAAAACCAACACACTCTAAAGGGCTTATTCTGAAGGAAGATAAATTAGGGATGCTCACCCGTCGGATTAGGCCGAAACACTAGAAAAAAACAGGTCGAGCTGTCCCACTGAGCCCAACATACATGGGATACGGAATAACTGGGTTCCCACTCAGCAGCAATATCGAAGGTAAGCATATATGAAAAGTAACCTGCACTCGGACTGCTACGGACAAACCGAAGTGGTATTTAACACTTACTATGGAAGCAATCTCGTGTGTTCCATGAAAACGAATGTGAGTGTTCAAAGAGTCCCTGAAATAAAACTGCTTAATACCGATATGGCAGGGCCCTACGATCAAAACAGTCACAGAGAGTGCATAAAGCATCTGTGAATATGGGTGGAATTGAATGAGGGATTGCATCAATTTGACAGCGAATTTAATCAACTAAGGGTCAACGCCAACAAACGTAGTTTAGACGAGTTGAGTCAATAGATTCCAGTTGAGGAACAAACGAGTTGGGTGAGCTGAGTAGTACAGTGGACAATGTATTTGGACAGTACACAGTTTTTTTAATGTATTTGGACAGTACATCACTCAGTTTTTTATATCCGTCAGAAAAATCAAACCATAAGCGGAAGGGCTGAGTCAACACTAAACGTGACTAACATCCCGCTTCACCAACCGCAGAACAGATACAGATCACCTAAAACATATTTGCACGTCTGGGATGAGCAAAACCGTTTTTGGTATTATCAGGCAGTCCAGCAAGCAACATCTTGGACCTGGGTTTGAATAAACCTGGTTTGACCCGTTGCATCAACGACACATAATTGGCCGCCAGCGCTCGTCTTGGAAACGTCACGTGTCTGCTACAAGACGTAGAAAGGGGGTATTCTAGTTTAACGCTAAAAACCTTTATCCGAGGGCTAGTGAGTAACATGTCTTCGAGCTGCTTCTAGAACCTGTGTATCACGCGATTACGAAATAGGTCCTCATTTATGTCACCAGGACTGCATTTCAACCAAAACGTTCACAGTCCGGTCATTGGCCCAACTATTAAAAGTCTGATACCCCCTTTGACTGTTTTGCACCTCAGCGTGGTGTTTCCACGACTATACGTACTGAGGGTCCCCGGCGGATTCATAACAGAATGTCAAGACTTGTGTCTTAAGTGGCAGGTGCACTTCCAGACAAGGTCGGACATTTTTGTGTCAAGCTTGAGAGAAACCCAGTCTACGGGACTATCGTGTGCGTCGGTTGAAGAGCAGCCTGATGAATCCTAATTATGGCTTTTTGGGTTAGAGAACCACTTGTTATGTGCTCAAGTACCGAAGATTCGGTTTTATCGTCAAATATTGTGGGACCAAATAAAATACACCATCAGAATAACGACTTACCTCCGGAAACCAACTCCATGAGAATCTTTAATGTGTTATTTTGGACCACTGCGTCCAGATAGCGGACGATATTTTTATGTTCCAAACGAGCGTGTAATCTTATTTCTTCTACCATTCGTTGTTCTTGTCTGGAATAAAAAAGAATGTCCCGGCAGCAAAACGATCAGTTGGCAATGAATTTGACGGAGAACGGATCGAATCGACAAACCAATGGACAATCTCAAGATGTAATACGTAGGTTAGCTGGCATAAACAAATTCATAAAACAATTTCATAAACTACAGCAAATGTGATCCCCACCATTATTGCGTTAGTTTATATGACGAAAGATGGATAGCAAAAGATAATAGGAACGAAGCTATTATTACTGTGAATGATAAAGCGGGCGAGTAATCCAATTGAGCAGGTGTGTGAAACAGGTTTGAGGACCCGTCAGTCGACACCGGAGCAAACATGAATATAGAAAGGTAATTTCAAAGTTGATTGGTGACTGTGTGACGCAGTGAGTTTAATTTATGGGCATATATGCGTGGCGCTGTTATTTATACGGTGAAGAGTGACCCTGAATAGAGCTTATACGGATCAACAATTATTTCAGTTCGATCACTTTGAGCACGGCTGTATGATGAAAACGGGACAGAAATCTGAGCCTTGAGCATTGAGACGCGGATAACTAATCAGCAATAGGAGTAACTAATCACACGGAGGACAGATCTGGCGTCATTCGTATTCAGAATATTGCGCAATGCACATTGCTGATTATTCCCAACAAGGATCAAACATTTGTACAATGATACCTCGGTTTTTTTTACTTCGTTTTACGGTGAAATCCACATCCAAAAGTTCAAGGGTCCACGAACTATCAGACGTAAAATTTCGGTGGGCACTACACGTGTAGTGAACACCATGCGGTCCAATCTGGGCGTATTGAGGGTACAGCATAAAGGTAAACCAATTAACTACCCATGTATAACTGTACTTACGTCGGGTCTTTTATAGGGATCTCCTTGATGGCTATGGGTCTCTCTCCGTTTCGTTCAATACCAGCATAAACTGTACCGAAGGCACCAGCTCCAAGCTTTTGACCAGTGTATTCAAACTGCCAAGCAAGAACAAAGGACCACGCTCAACTCAAAGTAATAGGCTCATATTTCATCAAAACACAATAGTCTACTACAACTGTCTCGTAGATTTCATTAACACACCCCAGATGCGACAGGGGTGCAAAGTTGGTGAAAGACGCACATGAAGAAAATTCTGCCGACTCTATGGTGAGGAAACGGAAATTGTCATCATGGTTGACGCACCGACAAACACATTTCAAAGCCACCGACAGCAGTGGTCAGCTAGCTGGATCCTTAGAGGTTTCATACGGCAAGCTGGGTTCCAGTGCAGGTTACAGCTAGTGTGGTACTAGCTGCCGTCGATTGCACTACGATATCTTTTATCAATGATCAGTTTGGTTTTGTAGGATAAACTCTATGATTCATACGGATAAAAGCAACATCAAGCTTTCGTCAGATGAGGGCTAATGGTAGACTGCAAACATGAGTTTTGAAGCACGACTTCCCGCAAATACGCTCTATTATATGGCAAGTGACAGCAAGAATGAGCTTATGTTTCTGGTCAGATGGATGCGTGGGTGGAGAACGAGACAACTGGAAGCCGACGACAATGCATAATTTCTACAACGATTCTCTTAAAATTAACAGATCTCCAGTCTATATACATACTGCAGTAGGAAATGCACAACTGGCAGATCAATGTGTACGCAAATCAGGGTTCGAACAAGTGGAGGATGAATTAAACAAAGAGGTATTCCAAAGTTTAAGACCGAGATCATCATAAAGATGTTCGATTACTCTTTGAATCTGATATAAAGCAAAGTAATAAAAGAAGGGATTATGAAACGGTGATACATTTACTAGATCCTAGAAAACGTTACACTTTGGAGGATTCAAGGGGCAATATCTATAACCAATAAGGAATCTATACAGCGTTGCTCTTCTCAAAAGAGTGGTCCTGAAATGAATGTGTGTAGAAAAAAGGGGATCGAAGTTCCTTCCTATTATTACACTTCAGAGGCGCTTCCGGAAGAGAACATTTTGCTCACACAGGCTGAAAATCGGTTCTACTGCCTGGAACACCACAGTAAGAACTAGGGCCATGATTGACTTGGCAGAAAGAAGTGAAAAGTCCGTAATTCAGGAATCAAAGCAAATCATCAAGACATTTCACAGTAAGGCTTCCAAAAAGAATCTGTTTGAGTAGGAAACGTAAAGCCCATACGGTTAACCTATAAGCAACACAGTGTAGGAGGTTTTCATATGCAACCGTTGACAGAAAAATGGCTTCAAGTAGTGTTAGGCAGGAATCCACGCGGATCCCACCATACCGCACGTCTTTAGGCGCTGGTACGGCCGAGAAGCCTGGCCCGCTCGAGGTTGGCCCAAAATTCGGGACGCTTGCCGGTCCGGCATCAAGACGAGATCTGATTGGTCAACAATCTGGACCCAACAGCCAATCATGACCCAGTATTGGCCAAATGCCGGTTGCCAATGGCGCTCCAGAACGCGTCAGAAATTCCAGAAAGTTATAGCCGCTTACGCTATATATACGAAGCGCTGTACAACTGTTCCTGATTTCGTTTTGGGCGTTAATAGACCTTGTGCACCTTTGGTGGTTGTTTTTGACGTGAACGCTAGCTTGGGAGGCTCAGACCGAGAACTAAGCTGAGGAAAATACCGTTACTACAAGTAGGCGGTTAGTTTTAACCCTACTGAGCTGAAGTGAAATGAACCGTGAGAGACGCCGGCTTGGACCGAAGCTCTCATATCGATTCGCGATACAACAGCGCATCTATAAGCGCGACTTTCCTCAAGATAACACGATATGACTATCAATTTGAAAAGGTTTCGGGCCGATTGGGAAGTCATCGTTTCAGAAAGGCTTGGTAAACGTTGCTTGGGCAACTTTTCGCTTTCGACAGACCATGGCCTGATGAAGCTTTTGTGTGAGAAGCGAAACGTTGCTCGAGTAAAAACTACAGAATATGACTATGCTGGAAGAAGATAATGACAACGATTGTACTCTATCAGTCAGCAGGAGTATCGTAAAACGCATTGAGCAAAACAATCTAGGTCCTGGAAGATAGAATTACTTTTCCGTGCCTGCACAGTAAGACGACAGTATTCCGTCATATATTATGTAACTTGATGGAATCAGCACGTACTTCCCCACCTGGGCCTTTGAACATATAACTAAGCTGAAGGGAAACAATGTCACAACCGCGTGACAAGGCTTATGACTCCCGAAAGTGGATACTTCTAAAAGGTCCGGTCCGATCGTGTTTCGATGATTCATCACACGGCAAACAAAGCAGGGTTCGAGAAAGAACCATTGCCACAGCGTATAGTTACGAAAAGCACAGTGCATGACATGTGTGGAATGTTAGCACTGGCCTTTTCTAGTGTTTTGTTCGTTGCCTAAATAAAGCATAACTAGTATGAGCGTTAGTTTAAATCTGCACAGGATTGTTCAACCTGCCCTGGAGATAGAGAATTTTCCGAAGACTTTTTGGGTATGCCATCTGTGGATGTTACCCTCCTCTGCACTGAAACAGTTTTTCGGTTCACTCAAGGTCTCCATAAATGGCACGTCACAATTTTCAGACAAGATATATTGTCCCAAATGGTTAGTTTCGCGTTTTTTGTCACATTCCAGGGATGGTTCGTGCGCGAAATACGTTTCTGGGTTGGCGAATTTTCGGTATGAATGATGCCTTAGATGGTAAGTTGAAATGCGCTTTCCGAAGAATGCAGTGGGTATTTGTCGTGCGCTCGGGTGCATTAAACGTATCTGCTCTGATGCATACGTGTATGATACCATCAATAACCGAAGAGTCAGTCGATATTGTGATAGAAGTGAATTGTGATAGAGGCATCGCAGTGTACTGGTAATGGATACTGAGTCGAAAAAAATCATGGTTGACAACCAAAAGCTCACTTCAAGTCGAGTGGGTGTTGTGTAGGGGAGGCTCAAAACATCTCTCTGCTCAGGCTTCAAGAGTTGGTCCCGCACCACTTTACAGAATCTGCAGAGAGAAGAGCGAAAGCGAAATGCAGCAAAAATGTTGCACAGAGGGAACAAGGTGTGAGGACAGATATACTGCGTACCCGCATTCACATATGACATTCAGTGCGCACCGTCTGTTCACAGCCTACTTCATTAAGACCAACACTAAGTGGTCTTTTATAAAAAAAGTAGCCGACCTGTGTGCATAAGCAGCCACCGAAGATATCCACGAATCCCGCAGATCTTCATACGAAAGACAAATAAGTGCACTGTCTACATTCCGGATACCACTGGATGCACAGTGTTACTCAAATCATGACTGTTGGGGAAAGTGTGTCAAGCATATTGGAGATACATACCATGAGATTAAATCCATCAATCTTGGTCTGGTTTTGTGTGAATCCGAATACAGCTGAAACGGTTCGTGACCTGGTAAAATACTCCATATCAACCTGAAACTTACCCCATCCAGCCCTACCTCTCCTCGAAATCGTCTCATGAGTCAGTGGCCAATTCGGTCGCCAATTCCAAAAATATGGTTCTGACCTAATTTTACGCGATGGTGAAATGGTTTTAAATAGATACGAAGGAGTATCCTGATCCACAGGAACTAGCCCAACTACTAACCTGGATGAGTGAGTGTAATCTGGTTGACCAGTGAATCAAAATACCAGCACATGATAGCATTTGAATTCAAAATTGACATAAAACACTTACTTCATTCGAACCACGTCACAGGAGAACTTCAATGTGTAGTTGTAAAGGTCACAGACGGTGAATAGATAAACCTGTCCGACTGTGTTCTTTGCTACGCTGAAGGATAAAAGAACAACAAGACACTTTGAAGACACCTGAAGAAAATACGACAGAAGTCATGCACCGTAATACTCTCACTCGTCGAGTCCAGCTGCCATGCCATGAGTCAGTGCCCAATCTTCACCTTCTTTACCTATTTTGATTTGGATGGGCCAAACCCAGATGCGGAGACGGTCACTTCGAGCGAAAGTCGAGTGCCCAGGGAGCGGCTCCGTCAGTTATGGGTGCCACCTCGCCCGTACAGAAAGACAACTCTCCAATTAGGGTCACTAGTAAACAGATTGCGAAAAAATGCAGTTTGACCGAGTCCGTTTCAGTAAACAAAATCTCACCTTTTTCAAGTGGATATGGATCTAAAAGAATAAACTCCCACCAGTCTGGTACCAACAACTAAGGAAAATGTGGTTCTATGAAACTTTCCAGTGAACGGTGAAAACTGAAATTGTACGGCAAAGCTGAGAGTTGCATTAGCATAAATTTTATTCAGTATAATCGGTATACGTTTTACAACATTTTCACTGTATTCGGATTTATGTATAACTGTGTTCGGCACGTTTGTTTAGACTGACCATAGTTGGGAAATATACCTAAGAACTCGATGCACACTAGTGTGACGACCGTAAGGGTCCAGTAGTGAAGAAACGTTTGACGCTGTTGCCAGTCAACGAGCACCACCAGCGAAGCAATGCACCTAGCCCTCAGTAGATCGTTTGTGTTTTCACATTACACGATCATGTGGACGAGGCTGCGCACTGCCTACACCTCGCGAAAACGGCATTATGATAGCTGAGCTCTCTCTCCTCGTAAAACGGATTACAAAGTGTACCTATAGTAACGTACTTTTCCGCAAAAATGACGCTTTATTGTCAACCGTTACTTCTGCTACGTACGCCTTTGCAGATGACGGCGCTCTGCACTCTTTCTTCCGACCGCTCCGAGAGCTTTGCCTTACTCCCCCTGTTCGACGATCAGGCAGAGGCCATCACTGTCCAAATTTGAATACCTAATGCATCAGTATCACGCGTCCATTACTTTTCGTGATTCTACTCCAAAATCGAGCTTGTTTACTGAACCCAATGTGGCGCTCAATCCAACTCGTTGATCCTCATTAGCCTATCGTTTTCGGACAACTTAGCCCGGTCCTCACATGCCGAGGTCCATGTCACGGGAAAACCTAGTGTGATGGGTTTCCTATATCGGGTATAGAAATATTCCACCATGATCAAGTTTTTACACTCTATAAAGTCTCCAATTCATCCCATCCTAGGATATTATTGTCATGTTTGGAGTGGGCCTCCTTCCTTCATGTCTCCGCTTGAGTCTATTCAAGGTGATTTTACGCCTTGTCATTATCCGTTCACTGACAGGTATCGCACAAACACTTTGTCAATGTCGGCAAATAACACCTCTTGACTAACTCTACCGCTACGTTCACAAGAACTTCCTTGTTTTGTCCTGTCTGTATCTTTCACTAAATCACATGTATCAAGTCATTGACACATATTGTAGGTCTAAAATCGTCGCTTTTTCGAGAGCACTCCGTCTTCGGAACTGATTACCTATACCTTTCCTAATTTGCATAATCTTTAATTGGCCAAAAGCGGGTATAACGTGTGCCTTAATCCATTGGGAGATTTTCGCTATTACACGTACGTTTGCAGTTTTTCAGTTTTACACCGAGCGTTTCTAACTGCCATTCGCACCTGTGTGGTGGAACAGTCGCACTCAACTCACACATTCACTCGACTGAGGACGTAACATACCCCGCACAAGTGTACGCATTAAAAACGCCAGGGGGACAATTCACTTTCCGATTATTGGAGCGGAAATCGCGCAGCTCATACAGGCACTCAAGCCGAAATCCTATAGTTAAGCAAAGTTAGGTTCTCCAGTCCCTTGAGAAAAAGAACAATCATAATTTCCATATTCATTCCTGTGACCGGCACCCGTCCAAAAGAACAAGCTTTCGTTGGGACAGCCCTAGCTAGATTACAAAGTAAACTCCCCGCCACCAGTAGCAATTTTTCAGTGTGACCTACCTGTTTTCTATAGGTTTGTTCGAGCAGTTTTAGAGAAAAAGCTATAGCCTTTCACCTAGTTGCGAGCAAAAGATGAAATTGCGGTGGATGATAGAAGACAGTTTGTATGATAGATACGTTGTCTTTGTGAGGCCTTCCTAGTTGCTACTGTGGGACGTTGCGAGCAAAAGATGAAATTGCGGTGGATGATAGAAGACGGTTTGTATGATAGATACATTGTCTTTGTGAGGCCTTCCTAGTTGCTCACTGTGGGACGGAAACTTTTTGTTGCCGGAGGTCACTCCTTCCAGCGGACTGCTGTAGTTTCAAGTGGCTGATTGGACGATGTTACTGAGGAACAATAACCTGTACACAAGTAACTCTGTGGTAGGAGGTATGATGGTATTTGTACGTCAGTTGGATGAAAGCAAATGTGAAATACCCTTATAAAAAACACTTCTTCATCATCGTCGTCATCAGCAATATTGTCGTATAACCATGTCGACCCATTTGAACAAAGCCTTGCGACAGAAAGACGCCTGATGAGGGTTTAATCACTCCTTGTTGTTTTACCTTATTAGTAGAGCTTACAGTGCAGTTTAATAAAGTCGAATGTAACAAGGAAATACTGTATCTTAAGCTGGAGGCATAAGTACAGGATTGAGCAAGGAAACACACCTGGGGGTAGACAAACGAACTCCCACTAACCGGACGGATGACCCACCAACTGCGCTACCGAGGACGCTTGTTCTTCATCACACTTAATTAGCTAGGTTCCACAAGCCGCAACGCGCCTTTCCGGTGGGTGAGAGGTCAGTGAGTCGAGTTCATCCCAGCTGTCTTTCTCTTCATGGTAGGTATACTAGAAATCTTCATTTTAAGTCCTGTCAAATTCCCGTCCATTTTTAACAAGCATGTTGAAACCTGAGAAGGTGGTCGCACTGGTGTGGTTTTTTGCGCGAAAGCACCGGCGTTGGTAGGGAAACGAATCGAACAATTTTGTGTTTTATATAAACCACAAATGTGGGAAGGATAGTACACGGGAGAAAGCGATAATGAGAAATCAAACGATAGTTATGCAAAGTCCCACCTGATTCCCTTGATATTCTCCACGGACAGGTCGAAGTAATTTACAAGTGATTCCGATCTACTCGCCGGTGAGTCCTCAGCAGGGACTGCCGTTGGAGCAGGCAATGGTGATAGCATGCCGGGTTCATTCTGATCACAGAAAGTGATCCGCAGTCGTCTTGGATCTAGGCCAATATCCAAATAGGCCGGCTTCCAATCTGCATCCTGACTTCCCATGATCAATACCAGAAACAATGTTTGATACTCTTCGGCAGCGGGCCCTGTGGTATCTGTATGCAGCCCAGGGAGAATAATAGTGAATACAAAACGTTCGTGGAAACAGCAAGCACCGAATAAAAGTGAACGGAAAACTGTCGCAAATACACATAGGAAAGCTCGGAAGAAGAGAAACAGCTATTTTCCCTAGCCATGCAGCGGAAGGCAGACGGATACTACATGGTCCAAGGTAAGTAAGCGGTAGTACGGACTTCAAGAGGATGTGGAGTGTTTATACGTAATGCACTACTCATAAGACCCTTTGACAGCAGCCTTGAGTAGTACGTTACGTACATGCATGTATCGCAATATCTCGAATATGGTAGCAACTGAAACGTGAGGCGGCCTGGTGCAGCACACTGTTGCCTGGAAACATCACAAACGAGAGATTCAGCTGGGTCCTAGGTGAGTCTCTTGCAAAACCAAATTGGTTTGCAAATGAGTGCATTTCGCTAATATGGAATGTTTGTTTTTGCTAAACGCCGCCATGGTCTAACCGAAGCCAAGCAAGTCATCAACATAAAGTATAAGCTCCCTGTGGACAGTGACTCATCGCTTTACAGATCAGACATCTAACTTTCCAACACAAGCCTTGAATAAATTCTCATCGCCAGAAGGCAGCTCGTGGCTGGAGTAGCAACAAGTTCAAATATCATGTCAGTCGTGCTTGGGGGATGATTAAAAATGTATCCCGTGGCGTTTTGCACACACGCGCAAACCGGCTGCTCAATACCACCTTTGGTGGACTACTGGAAGCAACAATCATCATCATCATCATCATCATCATCATCATCAACGACAGCATGACATCAGTGTTCAACACCAATGCTTCACTGCCGTACAACCATGATTTAATTGGAAGTCTTATTGTGAAGAAAAGAATAAAGGTGGACGGGGAAGGGGTTTAGTGCTGGCTTACTACAATCATTCCGAAGTGCCTACACCTCCAAACGGTCATTCAGGCAATCTGGATAGAAATTGACAATAAGAGCGCCACTGACATCGGTTGGCAGCCATATCTTGTAGTGTCTCCAACCAGGCACAGTGAGGATCACGCGGTCCCCATCCCGGAAG